GAAAGACGCATTCTACAGTCTGTCTGAGACGACCCAGGTATCAGCAGACGTGAAGTGGCCCTAGCATGTCGTACATCTTATAGTACCGCATAGAGGCTACTTCAAGAACAGCTCCTGTATCCATATCATTGCAACGTGTGCAGGGTATTTCGCCCTCTGATCACTCACTTTTACCGATGGTTTATTGCACAAACTGTCGATCGGTCGTTTGTCGCTTCAGTCTTGTTAACGGATAAGGAAATATTTGAAAGAAATGAAATAACAAATTTACACAACTAACATCTATGGACAGATGGAAATCCCTATGGTACAATACAAGCTTGACATCAACATCAGTTTACGATTAATATGTGGGCTGGAGTTGTAGGTGACTGTCTAGTTCATATGTTCTCCCAGCACGTCTTACAGGAGCTGTCTACAGTGACTTTATTTCTTCCAAACCTGCTAGAGGACGTACCCCTGCTAATACGAAGGTGCATGTGATTCATGGATGATGGGGCTCCAGCATATTTTAGTTACATTTTTCTCGACGCACTGGATGCCTTCTAATATGTATAAATAAGGGAGGACCGGTTCTGGATGCCTTAAAATATGAAATATGTATAAATAGGGGAGGATCGGTTCTGGATGCCTTATAATATGAAATATGTATAAATAGGGGAGGACCGGTTCTGGATGCCTTATAATATGAAATATGTATAAATAGGGGAGGACCGGTTCTGGATGCCTTCTAATATGAAATATGTATAAATAGGGGAGGACCGGTTCTGGATGCCTTCTAATATGAAATATTTATAAATAGGGAGGACCGGTTCTGGATGCCTTCTAATATGAAATATGTATAAATAGGGGAGGACCGGTTCTGGATGCCTTCTAATATGAAATATGTATAAATAGGGGAGGACCGGTTCTGGATGCCTTCTAATATGAAATATGTATAAATAGGGGAGGACCGGTTCTGGATGCCTTATAATATGAAATATGTATAAATAGGGGAGGACCGGTTCTGGATGCCTTCTAATATGAAATATGTATAAATAGGGGAGGACCGGTTCTGGATGCCTTATAATAAAATATGAAAATATTCTGTGCCTTATATAAAAATATGTATAAATAGGGAGGACCGGTTCTGGATGCCTTATAATATGAAATATGTATAAATAGGGAGGACCGGTTCTGGATGCCTTCTAATATGAAATATGTATAAATGAACCGGTTCTGGATGCCTTCTAATAAAATATGTATAAATAGGGGAGGACCGGTTCTGGATGCCTTATAATATGAAATATATATAAATAGGGGAGGACCGGTTCTGGATGCCTTATAATATGAAATATGTATAAATAGGGGAGGACCGGTTCCATAGCCTGCATGTTCCCTTGACGTCAATCTGTGGGGCAACCTAAAACAATTGGTTTATGCAGCAGACATTAATAATGCAGAGACGCTTTATCAACGTGTCATGAGGGCCTGCTAAACCATTCGACACTGTGTGGGAATATTTGAAAGGGTCTGCTAGTGAATGATCCGACGGGTGCATGCGTGTGTAGACGCAAGCGGAGGACATTTTGAACATTTGTTATTTGTATTCGTTGAGGTGTTGAGAACGATGGCCTTTTGGACATATGTTTATATGGACATTTTACCTTGTTTTGGTATCACGAACCCGCCCCCAAAGTTTGTAAAGTTTGTATGTGTGTGTGTGTGTACCGGCCACAATAACAATATTGTCCAATTGTTAGATTAAGCTTTGGACCGTTGTATCTTAGAAATGATTAAACATATCTTATTGGAATTCTCCGAATGTTTTTATAACATTATTGAACTCTACCTTGAATGACAAGAATGTATTTAGCTCTAAGTTTAAATGATGATCCCTCTTGCTGTTGTGACCTCCTGATCCAGTTTTCCTCTCTACTGTTCCCTCTTTTTTAAACTTTCCTCTTGATGGTTCTTGAATGGACTTTGAAGATGGAAACCAGAATATAAATGTTGGTAACCATTACTGAAAGCCTGAATGATCTTTTTCCTCTCGCCAGAGTTGCGAAGACATAGTGAGGCTGACACAAAACAATTTTAACCTCTTCTCTTTCTAGCTGAATAACTCAAAGGATTTTTCAGTGATTCTTACGACAAATGGTGTCAAGATGGCTAAACGTCTCGTCTGAATATCTGGAAAAAAGAAACTCAATGAGTTTAGTTTTTTTTTTATATATATTAAACATTTTGTGGGATGGACAATTATCCCATGCTGTTACACGATTTGGACAACGTTGCTGCTACCTCCGGTACATATACTCTTCAGCACGCCTGCTTCTTCTCTAAGTACTCTTGCCAAGACTCACATTCTGATGTTACACACATTTCTACGTTCAAGAGGACCTTTCTACGGTCAAGAGGTATCTTCCGTCGTTTTTCAACGTATGCTGATCCAGGAGCTAAGTTCATTAGACCCGAACAGCCAGACTACCCGCAAAATATGATTTGATTTTAATGATGAAAGCGTGTACAGAACCAACCCTACTTTTTGGAAGAGCCGAATACAGAGAACTGGTGCATAGAGTACCACAAGATCCTGAAACGACACTCCTCAGGTTTTGAATTCAGAGTTGTCCTTCTTCTAGACTGGTTGCCAACCAAGGCTACAGAACCCAATCCTGCTATTTACCCATAGATTGGTATACCGAACAGCCAGATTATCCGCAAAATATGATTTGATTTTGATGATGAAGACTTGTACAAAACCAACCCTACTTTTTGTAAGAGCCGAATACAGAGAACTGGTGCATAGAGTACCACAAGATCCCGAAACGACACTCCTCAGGTTTTGAATTCAGAGTTTTCCTTCTTCTAAACTGGTTGCCAACCAAAGCTGCAGAACCCAATATTGCTACTTACTCATAGATTGAAGGGGGAACAGAAAAGATGGATTCATACCTTGCCTAAGGGTAAGGGAATACAACAAACTTGACTGGAATTCGAAATCGGCTCTCTGAATTCTTCAATCCGAGCCGTTACCGTGCTTCCAAGTATATACATTTCAAGAAAACATTTTTACCAGAAAAGAAAATTTACCAAATAGCAATTTAGCAATTTGATTATAATTTAAAGTCAGCTGGACCAGAATTGATAAATTCCCATAAGTGTCCAAGAGAACTGGCTGCTAATTAGACTAAAGTGGCTCTATTGTTGTTCTTAATGCCATTGTCACGATCTCGGAAATTCACAATATGCGCATCTATTTTAGGTGTAAAATTAAGTTGGTGTTGCAATCAGGAGAACAGCACAGAAAATTGGTTTTATTCAACACACCCAAAGTGGTAGTCACCGTCTGCGCTTATTTTCTCAGCTCCAAAGCCAAAATATAACATCGTATATTCTTGATTTTGTTAACTTCAATTTACTGCTTGGCATCCCAAGCTCACATTTATTTTAAGCATATCCGATCAGCTGACGAGATATCTCGCGAGAGATATCATTATTTTAGGTCGCTAAGTAGATCACTAGGACGGGGAAAGCAGTGCGGAACAGCTTTGTCGCAGGCGTTCAGGGCTTCCTGGGGAATCACAAGGCCGAAAACAATGGCGACCTTGTTGAGACCTGGTGAAGAACTATGGCAAAAAAGCTCTGTAGAATGTCACTCAAAGTACATTACTTTGACGCTCATCTTGATAAATTCAAGAAGAACATAGAGGCACTTCGCTTCTACCAGGATATACTGGACTTTGAACGCTGTTACCAAGGATAGTATAATGAAAAACTGATGGGAGACTATATCTGGGAGCTTATTCGTGAAAGTAATTTACAGTGTAAGCGTAAAATACCCACTTGTACGTTTTTATGATCTCTCTTGTGTAATCCTAGAATAAATATTCACATTCGCCTGTATTCCCAATGGAAATAAATATCAGAAATATCATTATCCTAGTCAGAAAAACAAGGTTTGAAGTAAATATTAGCCATTTTTCATACTTTCTTGGCGTAAGCAAATAGATGATAACAGTTGCTATTCAAGGACAAAAATCGTGTTACACAATGAATGAATAAACTGATATATATATATATATATATATATATATATATATATATATATATATATATATATATATATATATATGTTGAACTTGACTAATGCATGGAATAATAATGCAACACAAAATGTACTTAGAACAAAATGTATTGAAACAAGAAAGTGTACACAATATTTACATATAGTCTTTTGTAGATTCCTGGTAAGACCGTTCCTGGAGAATGGGTTGACTGAGTCGCAGTCGAGCGGAGTCTCTGGTTGAATCTCTTGATTCCTCCCCTCTCTTCCCGGTACCATCCATATTTATATGGTCGGTACTCCACTATGCAAATTAGGTGGATCCTACCACAACAATATATATTATATGTATGTATATATGTATGTATATATATATTTTGAACAATAAAAAATATTAAAAAATTAAAATCTTCAGACACACTGAGTTGTATATTAATATTCCTTCGTTTTTATTATTATTTCATTTAGATTATATATATATATATATATATATATATATATATATAACAGATTGAGATAGATAGATAGATAGATAGATAGATAAGGAATAGAATGAGATATATTAAAACAAAGAAGGAAAATTAACTGAGATAAATACATCGATAAATAGATAGATAGCAAATAGATTCCGATATAAGGAACAGATAGATAGATAACGAACAGATTCTGATAGATAGATAGATAGATAGATAATGAACATAAAGAGATAGATAAGCAGAAAGAAAGGAAATAAACAGACTGAGATAGATAGATAGATAATGGACATTATGATAGATAATGTATATTGTGATAATGAAAATTGTGATAGATATCTAATGAACACTGTAATTGATAGATAGATAATGAACATTATGATAGACAATGAACATTGTGATTGATAGGTAATGAAAATTGTGATAGATAAGTAAATAATGAATACTTTCTTAGATACATAGATGAAATTTAAAGAAAACTAAAAAAAAAGAGGCAAGTCCAGAGAAAGAATGAAAGAGGAGAGGAGAGGGAGAGTAAATAGAGAAGAGGGAGTGGGGAGAGCGAGCGAGTGAAAGAGATAGATAGATAGATAGATAGAGAGAGAGAGAGAGAGAGAGAGAGTAAATAGAGAAGAGGGAGTGGGGAGAGCGAGCGAGTGAAAGAGATAGATAGATAGATAGATAGATAGAGAGAGAGAGAAAGAGAGAGAGAGAGAGTAATAGAGAAGAGGGAGGGGGAGAGCGAGCGAGCGAGTGAAAGAGATAGATAGATAGAGAGAGAGAGAGAGAGAGAGAGAGAGAGAGAGTAAATAGAGAAGAGGGAGTGGGGAGAGCGAGCGAGTGAAAGAGATAGATAGATAGATAGATAGAGAGAGAGAGAGAGAGAGAGAGAGAGAGAGAGAGAGAGAGAGAGAGAGAGAGAGAAATGGTTTAACCAT